CCGTTGCGTTCGTTGACAATCCTATGACAATAGTTCATTGCCTGCTTCTACAACATCTCTCCACTGTGAACCTCTCTCGGAACGTACGCTGACTAATTGTGCGGAGGCTACCATAACTCCAAGAACGAGACGCCACAACTTGTCATTATAGTTGTTCAATTCGCGACGAATGTTTAGTGGTATTTGTTGATGGTAGTACGACGTCTGCGATGGGCGCTTGTGGTGTTTGCTGCTTCGCTGACTCTCGTCGTCAGTTTAATAATGAACAGCGCATCAATAAGCTGCACCACTCCTTCGCGTGTTCCGAGCAAGCAATGCAAAAGCTCTTGTAAATATATGGTAATGTATGCGTTTGGCGGTCATAAACTGGTCTGGCAACGTACGTACACGCGTTATCGCAAGGCATGCGTCGGTGACCTTGCGTTTGCAGGCTTCCAGGGACAAGGAGTATATATAAAGAGAGCAGAGGGTCAGCTTGTTAGACATCGCTGCGAGCATAGAGACGCTCGGACGGGCATTATTATTGCAGGGCCGCTGACAGGGCCGCTGACAGGGCCGCGAGGAGCAAACGATTCTCATTCGGTTCTCCGCCATCTTGGCCTTCGCGAGGAAAATTTGGCCGCGATGGTGTACCCTAGGCGTTTGGGCCTTCTTTTTTTTTGCGCCGCATTGTGTCGTGGCCGGCGCCTCATTGCGGAGCGTCCATCGACGTCTCTCCGAGATGATTGCCGGCGGGCAAACGGCGGCGCACGAGGAGGCGTCGCCGCCCTGATGACGTGTTTGTCGCTAGCCGCATCTGCTCTCCTTGGCAAACCCCTTTTCGGCCGCTCTCATTTATTCCATTCAGTGCTTCGCCGGTGTGCAGCTGCAATCCATTAGCGAGGATGAAGAGCGGCAGCGACGTTGTGTCAGGACGCCGGGATTTCTATTTCGTTTTTTTTTAGCTGGCACTCGTATGAGCAGCTCAAATGTTCTTCCGGCATGCATGTACATATACAGAAATGCATTAGTTCGCTTACTAACGAGAGCTTCAATCTCACTGCGTTCTTTGCAGAGAGAGGGGTAACTTTTAATGATAATTCCCGGAACTGTTAGGTGTCGGCTGACGACTATGACATATACAATGATCACGAATGCACACGAACAACACGTACACTGACGAACACATACATACACAGGATTAATGAAAACAAAAAGATGTGGTGAGAGAAATAATTTAATGTAGAACCAACATGTAACGCAGCCAACTTCAATGTGAGGTGGACTAAAGGAATACTAGCCGCTGGCAGAGCCTGAACCTGCGCATTTAATATAATCATCAGGCCCCTCGAATAACAAAATGGAGAAGACTTCTCTTTGGTGCGGGCGCGCGCTCAGATGGCTGTGCTATAATACGCGGTTTTGTCTGCGTTACGCCGAACGATGGCGACTGCATACGATCACGTCATACTACAGTTGGGCCCTCTGAAGTTTTGTGCCCTTAAAAGGCGCGAGCGAATAAGAGCGAAAAAAAAATAATAAACTGTGTGTGTGTGTGGGGGGGGGGGGGGGGGGAAGGGGGGGAGGAAGCAGTGATACACAGAAAAGTTGGGATGCCAATGTGTTTTGAGGGCTCATAGCTATGGAGAAACGAAAGTGAAGGATGAAAATGATGCCCACAATCCTTTTCTCTTTTTTTCAGGTGTGTTCATGAATCGAGCGTACGTAGCGGGCACTTCTGCATTCGTGGCAGCGACTAAAGCACGTTCTGAGGTACCATAATGCTGCTAAAGGTTCTTCATGAGTGCGCGAAAACAGCGCTTGTAGTTAAATTCTAACCGATAAAACTGTAAGAAGTCAGGCAGTACTTCTGACACTACTTCTGCGTTCGTGCTGCCCGCAAAAAAAAAAAAAAACGATCGAAATGATATATGCCACGTAACTTATTATTTTTTTTTTTCATATTCAGTTGAGTGCCGACGCGTTCATTTACCGCTACGAGCGTCTTGTCATCGTGCTCTTTGCTTTTTTTTTTATTTCAGTGACACAAAATACAACAACTTGCGTGAGGTGAGTGTTCGTCCTTGATGCACGTATTCATAAACATGCACGAGCCTGCCTCGATGCCCGAAGGGACAAGTTTGGCAGGGCGTGAGCTGCTTAATCCACTTTGCCGTCGTACAACAAAATAAAAAGAAGTTAAAAGTGCTGAAAACAAAGTGCTGCTTGCCGCAGCGTTATATTCTCTGACTCGACGTCTCCGATGCCGAGACGAGGGTGTCATTTCATTCTCAACTTTCTGCATAATACGGATCGGCGTCTCGAACGACGCGGCCAAGCTCTGCGCTGGCAGTTCTTGGCAAATTAACTTAGCAGCTTTGGTCCTTCTTTTTTTTTTCCCCGTGGTGGCGGTTAATGCAGATGTGATTTTCTCCTTCTCTTAGAAGCAACTCCCACTCGTTCAGTTTCTTGCGTATTTTTTTTTTCTGTCATTTTCGCGACCTTGCCGAATTGGAACGTCACCGTGCCAAGACGTACGGCGCTGTTCGCGTCTTTTGTTTTATAACTGACGCGAGAAAGCAAGTGTCCCGATTGCTTTGTAAATAAACGCGCTGTCTTACCAGCAGAGCCGTGCATGGGCCGAACGCGCTCCGTTATGACTGATTTGCATAGCAAATCGAACTGCCAGCTACACGTGGAAATACATTCGGTAAAACCATAGGGACGTGCAGGCGTGCCCATGGCGATGCCCCCTTTCAATGCTAATACGCTTCTCCCTGGCGAACCAGAAACGCAAAGAAAAATGAAAACTCATGCCGCCCACGAATGGCCGCTTTTTTCCGAAAGTTCTCATAGACGTGCGCATAAAAAAAAACTGCTCGTGTTCCCTAGGCTCCGGTCGACGTGCCATTCCGTTCGGCAGGCTTTGGCACGCTCCTTTCTCTTTAACGGCCGACATTGTTCTGTTGCTGGAGCGTTTCTTTCTCCTCTAATTTCAGGTAGTCTTCTCCGTCTTGGCGCCTGTAACTGTGCGCACTGGTGCGTCACTTTCCGCTCCCTGCGGGCGTGCCAACGGGGCTGCTCTCGCATTCCTCGGAGCGTCCGATTTCCTTCTTCTTTGCAGCGTGTCCGCCTTACACCGCAGTCTCCTCTTGACAACCGCTACCTCCTCTGCTCGCCGTTTTCCCAATTATGCAAAGTGTGACAGAGCATGGCGTGCATTAGGGAAATGGTGTCCTGTGGTCTTGCTTTTTGTTGTTATTCGAGTGCCGTGTTTTTTTCAAGTATTCTCTTCTCTGGTCGTCTTCTTTCTTCACCATCCTTTCTCCCTTGCATGGTCGCGTCCTTCAGACCTCCTTTTTTTTGCGCATGCGCACAAAACCTTCTTCTTCGGTCACAACTGTTCCTGTCGTCATCATCTCTTTCGCTGCATCAGCGTTCGGGAATGGGTGGACGTATTGCATTGATTGACATGTTTAACGTCCCAAAACCACCATATGATTATGAGAGACGCCGTAGTGGAGGGCTCCGAAATTTCGACCACCTGGGGTTCTTTAGCGTGCACCCAAATCTGAGCACACGGGCCTACAACATTTCCGCCTCCATCGAAAATGCAGCCGCCGCAGCCGGGATTTGATCCCGCGACTTGCGGGTCAGCAGCCGAGTACCTTAGCCACTAGACCACCACGGCGGGGCGGACGTATTGCAATCTCTCTGTTTAAAACCACTGTGTGTCGTCAAGATTGCCTGTAGCCGGTACCCACTTTGCACGCAGGATAGCCCTATATATGGGGCACTGACTAGCCTTAAGAGTGATGGCGCCTGCCCAACGCCTTACACGTTATCTCAGGCCTCTCCACTTTTCGGTTGACGTCATCACACCATGATGGATGAGGGGGGGGGGGGGGGGTTGGCGTCCTAAGAAATGTGCAGTACTGCGCGCTAGTGTACTTACGGCGAGTTTCGAATCCATTCATCCATGCTGTCAGAAGTTTCCCGACAGCGCCGACAAAGCAACTGCTTCGTACTGTGGCAACGTGGACGCCAGGAGAAAAGGGCGTCGTGAACCGTTGGCCTACCGCGGAAATTATATGAAGGGCTTTCTCTTTCTCCCCGAACTCTTCCCTGTTGATCAGAGCACGCACCCTTCTCTTCTCACACACTCACACACATCCATAGAAGCGCAGCCTGTTCATACGTTGGAACCACCTCTGATAATTTGGTTCGTAATTTCTTTTCTCTGTGCCTCACGTAATCTCCGCTCTGCAGTTCATAATTATGCAACAACCAGTCCAACAATGAATTCTCTTCGCGGTAATAATTTTTTTCGGAAAACATTCTACGGGTATTAAATAAGTTCCAAGGTCTCAAAAAGAAGTGATACTTTGGGACCTATTTGAATACCTGCAGATGAGTCAAAATTTGCCCCTCAACCCTACGCTACGTCATACCTCGTGTGCTGCATTAGACGTTAAAGTTCTTCTCAACGCCGTTCCTAGCAGAATAAGTGCACTCTCTCGGACGCTTTCTTCTTTTTTCTCTCTCTCTCTCTCTCTGAATAATGAAGCAAAGCGAGTGTAAAGTCAAGCACATGTCTAAAACAGACAATAAAGAAGACCTGACCCGCGTATACATGGCCGTAAATAACAGCGTGCGAAAAACTACGATTTTATTTACGTTTCGCGACAGTGCATGAGTCTGTGTTGTTAATGACGCGAGATTTCAGTGCTTTTCGGGGCACCACCATGCTCCGGGAGGCACTGAAATCACGCACGCACGCACACACACACACACACACACACACACACACACACACACACACACACGCGCGCGCGCGCGCGTGCACACACACACACACACACACGCGCGCGCGCGCGCGCGCACACACACACACACACACAAAGAGAGACAAACAAGTGCACGCACGCACGCATGCACGCACGCGCGTGTGTTTGTTTGTTTGTTTGTTTGTTTGTCTGTTTGTACGTGCGTTCTCATTCTCCGTGATGTTTGCTGTATAGGCGGATCTCCCGGCTGAAGACCACCAGCGCCCGTGGGAAGAGGCTGAGTGAAGAACGCCACATGCCTCTCCAGGCGGGCGGTGGCAACGACTGGATGACACACGAGCCGGAGAAAGTTTTCACAGTTCCTACTCAAGAAGGTGAGGCTTCGATGATTGAGGGCAGTATGCCTTATAGCCTTCACGACTCGTGCGTAGGCAATCTGAGCAATGATTTGTGTATGCCTCTGCTGGTTATTACTTTATTTCTGCCCGGTATCGGTGGTTACTGTGCCCAACTGCTCCCCCGAAAGTCGCGAGTTCGAATTCGGCCGCAGCGGTCGCATTTCGATACAGACAAAATGACAGAGACCCGTATGCACTGCGATGTCAACGAATATTAAAGGAGAACTCCAGCGTTTATTTTTATATATTCATGGATTTCAATAAATCTAAACAAGTGTTCTCGTTGTTACCGTGGTGATAGGTGCCAAATTATACAACCGTAAGTCATTTAGTTTTTTTAGAATAGAAATTTTAAAACTGGTAGCCCATTTTGGAATCACAGTTGTAAACGCTGCCACCTTGGGTTTCTGATGTGAGGGCCTACTCTTATTCAAAAACCCCGCCTTTCCCAACAGACGGATGCAGCGCGCGCTTTCTTCTACAAGGTGACGACGACGCGAGCACAGTTTTGTCAGCTGCATATAGCGTGTTTGTCGTCGTTGGCGTCGGGTCTTACAATATTGAGCAACGAAGAGATTGATTAGGGGCACATCAGATGCTTGACGCACCAACGGATTGAAATCAAAAAGCGATGCTTCCACGCTCAGATATAGTAGCTGCAATCATCGCTGAACTTGTCACTGGTAAGTTCAGACGAGTTGGTACAGGTTGGTTACACGTCGAGTGGCATCACCGATTTGCTTTTCGCACGTTAGAACAGACACATGAGCTATGTTTACATCCTGGCTAGCCGGTGGTGGGGTGTAGCGGATCTCGTGACGTCATCGGGGAGAGAATTTTGTGACGTCACCTGATACCCATAATGGAGTACGGAGCAGCTCGTTGTACTGGTTTCTGTTTTGACTCATCGTTCATTGCCGAATAAAACTTATTGACGAGTGCCTGGGCATGACGCATCATCCTAGCTCTTGCAGGACTGTCAATACTGCCACGTTCCTTTCCGCAAGTTTTGTTATCACCCCATTCAGCGCAAACCGTGCCTACGATGTTTGAGAAGCTTCGAGTGTTTAGTAGATCGTTTTGTTAAGTTTACGCCCACTTCGGGAGCGTCACATATTATTCGGGAACCTCCGTCGCCGCTAGCGATAACGCTAGAATATTCGATGGCAAGGGTATAAATGCCGACACGATAAATGTCAGTTGATCGACGGCCGACGCTATGTTTGCTGCTATTGGTGCCAGTGTCTTACTTTCTTTTTGCGTGGCCGCATGTTTGGCCCGAATGAACAGTTTCTTCTTCGACCTAGAGTCTGCTCCCTTCGTTCACGTCTCGACCCCGTGACAATACTATTTGAAAACAGCATTATCTCAGTATGGTCGAAAATGCACCGGAGTTCCCCCTTAAAGCACATCGGATGGTGAGAACTTGCGGAATTTTCTACTGCGGCGTTCCTCATTATCATGCCATTGTTGTTTTGTCACTCAAATCCCCCACGTCATATAGTTTCTATGTGGTGCGGAACAATTTAGGTGACCAGTTTGTCGTATTTTGTCGTATACTGTTGTCGTCGCTTCGCGTAAAGCAGGAAAAAACACATGTAGCAAATCCAGTTGTTGCATACTGAAGTCTTCCCCTGGTGCTTCGAATATCTACATTCGAAGCCCTGGGCTTCCAATGTGATATAATGTGCGTACATTACAATTCAATTGCGTATAAAAACTTAAAGAGGACGCAAGTGAAAAATATAAACATAGAAAAAAGGAAAATGTGGGAAGAAATACAGAAAGAAAAAGAAATAACGAGGGAAAACACAGGAAATGAGTTTACGAAAAAAAAGTAAAGGGAGGAAAAAGAAGAAAAGACGAAGAAGGCTGCCCGACTCCGCACTTACCTTAGGCTTGGTGCCATTCCGGCGATGCTGCCTTGATTACCTAATAATGTTTTATTCTAGCAGTGCGTTGCCATTTGTGTTCGGGGTTATGTTCCGGTTGATCTAAGATTTATTTGCATGCGTTAGCGCGGCAGTCGCCATTGCGGTCAGGCAACTGCCCGTAGCACTAAACCATCGTGAACGTATGCTTGTGCACATCAATTTGTACGAGCGCTTCACCTTCCTTTCTTACCCGACTGCGGCTTTCTCCGCCACGGTGGTCTAGTGGCTAAGGTATTAGGCTGCTGACCCGCAAGTCGCGGAATCAAATCTTTGCATTTCCGATGGAGGCGGAAATGTAGGCCCGTACGCTCAGATTTGGGTGCTTGTTTAAGAACCCCAAGTGGTCGAAATTTCCGGAGCAAAGAAAAAGCAAAGAAAGGCTTCAAATTTAAAAATTTATTGACGCCATCATTAGACGTAATATAATGAACATGTTACTCGCGAAGCATGATAAACAAGCCAGGTTTGTCGGTAGTGCACTTATTTCTGAAGTTGTGTGGCGTTTGCTTTTCGGCGAGAAAAGAATATGGCATATTGTATGTTTGTAGGTTCGTTACGTCAGTAGGCGCCGGCGAGGGATTTCTATGGCGCTATTATTGCTATTATTATTATTATTATTATTATTATTATTATTATTATTATTATTATTATTATTATTATTATTATTATTATTATTATTATTATTATTATTATTATTATTATTATTGACGCATATGCAGAGAAAATAGGGAGTGCTGTTTGGTGTGACCGGGCTCACCGAACCCAGCTAACTTACTTGAGCAAAACCAATTTTGCCTCGCGTTTATAGACGTTTATTTTTTCTTTCATTGTAAAATTTACTCGTCTCTATCTAACACAATTTAATATCCACGTAACTCTTAAGGTAACAAGAACACAGTCTATCAAGAAAAATATTGCTGAACAACAACTACGCTCTCTCCAAAGAGCCAACAGGGCTGCAAGTACCGTTCTATGCGGCTGAGGTGTCTGTGAAGATGCGACTATCCGGCGCGTTTCGTAAGCGTCTCTTAGACACACGCTAGAGGTGTGTGTCTTTGACACAAGAAACGGCTCGGCATTTCGGAGAACATCCTCTGAAGTTCTGCAGCCCTACAAGCTGCCGTGAAGCAGCCGTTCTTTTCAATGTGTCAACCGTGTCGTTACACAATCCGCGATGCGCCTTCTCTGATACTGCTTGCCACTTTGTGCAGCTCATGTGTCCTAGAAAGAGAAATGGAAATCAGACAAAAAAAAATGGCGATATGGTGATCTGGCCAACAAAGATAGTTTTTTATTCCGCATGGTACAGACCTTCGAAGCAAACAGAAAGTTCGAAAGTGAGAGCAGAGGCACTCCCGTCTCTACTTTCACTCAAGGAAACGGAGAACTTAAAAGGCTCGCATAACCTAAGACGAAAAGACGATGAAAGCAACCATAGTTTCCTTCTTCTTAGTGAATTGCAGTGATAGTACCCCCTCTCGCTTTTCCTCCCCGAAGGCTTTCAGCAACCAGCGTCATTTCGCATTGCCTCCGGGATTGGGGACTTTGAAACAAACTGGCCCCTCACGTGGTTTTGCTGAACCTCAAGGACTGGCGCACCTGTGACCGAGCTGCGATAACCTCACAGTCTTTTTTCGAACGCCATCACACAGCAATGATTCTTTTCTATCAATGGTGTTGTCACCGACTGTTACTTTTCACGACTGGCGAATCATCTAACGCTTTCGTTTTAAAAACTCTAGTTGTTACCCATCATTGTGACTGCTGATGCCACTGGTGTTGCCAGGGTGAGTGGGGTGCGGAGGTAGCCTTCTCGTACCCCTTCCTCCCCCGAAGTTTATCAATTTTGCCCTTGTATATCCCTGCACACATAAAAAACGCACGCACGAACACGCAATAAATAATTGAACCCCTTTCCCCTTCTGCCCGCTCCCCTATCCATAGAGGAGTTTTTGGTCACGCTAGTGCCCGACGCCGTCGCGATTAGCAAAAACTGACACACTCCAAGGAACAAAATGGAGTATTCGATGAGTAGTTATTAGTTTTTTGTTATTTACGCTGTTTCATTTTTACTGTGCGCTGCTGGAAAATTCGCTCTTACGTTTTTGCCCCGCCGTGCCTTCCTCTTTTTTTTTGCTTCTTTTTTTCAACATATTTGTGGGTTGTTTGACGTTCAGCTGGCTTGAACAAAACAAACTGACGCGTGTAATCTGCTCTCCAGCTAACAGAACTTCATTTGTGTCTTTCTATACCTCGGCAATTAGGTGGGCAGATGAAATTAAGAAGTTCGCAGGTGTAAAGTGGCAGCATAAAGCACAGAACGGCGTTGATTGGTGGAACATGGGAAACACCTTTGCTCTGCAGTGGGAGCAGCCAGGCTAATTACGATGATGATGACGATCTCTTGAAGGCATGACAGGTAGTACGAGCAAGTTCGGGGCGTTTTAACAGGCGGTGAACTTCTTCGTTCTCTAGCTTGCACAAACGTGAACCTGAGACACTCGCTTGTTCACAGAAGCTGGTACTTGGTTCGAAGCGAAGGTGCCATAAAATCAGGATTCCCAGCGTTCACAATCATTTGGCGCTGTATGTGAAAGCAGCACTTCCGCGTAACGCTAGAAAACAGCGCGTTTCACTCTTCCTGCATTTCAAAGGCAGTCGCGTGTATTTGCTTGTTCAGGGTGACGCCAAAAACCGTCCCTTCTATTACTGACAGCTGCTAGGGCGCCCAGAATAAAGCGAGAAGACTTCCGTTACGGCGCTCCGCCCGGGCGTCAGCCGTTTCGTGAACGCCTTCCAAGACCTTGCTGGAGTCTCTCCTGCACGGTTGTCGCTGCTGCTTCGCTTGTTCCCCGCTACCGTTCGAGAAATGTCGCGCGTGAGGCGTTTCGCATGGCGCCTCTGCGAGCCGTTGTCATCCGTCGTGTTTGCTACAAGGAGGAGAGGCGGCTGCCGACGGCGCGGGAAGACAGATTGCACTAGCGCGAAATGAAGCGCAGCATGACGGGAGCGAAGTTTCGTTCGAGAAAAATGGCGCAGGCC